ATAAGACCCCCGGCCTATGTGTCATTCTCAATGCCCAAGATCCCGAGAGGATTATTGTCTATTCTCTTAATAAAATCTTTTTCTTGTTTGAAGTTCATGGTATTCTGCTTGGGACACTCAGTTGTTTGTTGGGAAAGTCATGATACATTATGCAAAAATGTATCATGACTTTCCTGACAGCCCAATAACACTTTGGTTAAGGTTTTCGTGTCATTGCTAATACATGAGAATGAGAATTCTCTGCTTACTCACCCCCAACACAGGTATTGACTTTTGAGAACTCAAAGATAGTGAGATCAGAAAGCCATGAAACCCAAAAGAGACATTACAAAACATATAAAGTACAGCTCGGTTTGCATTTAGAAGAGAAAATGAATGCAGAGCTTGTCAAAAGGTTATTATTTAATTTTTAAAGAACTGTCTGAAGGTGTATGTGCTTGCCAGACAGACATGGAGACACAGAGGCAGGGGAAGAGAAAGAATGTCTCAAAGGGGGTATGGTCATGTTGCAATACATTTTTTGTTATTTCTCCATATTGTTGGGATTTGGGCCATACATGTCCCAGGGTGGTTTTTAAGCCACTGGGGCTGGAATCTGAACTGTGGTTGGCCATTTGGGATCTGGATCCCTTAACTACTAGGTTATGGGGACAGCCTTGAAATTTTAATATTTTTTTCCCTTTTTTTTTTTTGGAGAGGTTTTTGCCCAGACCAACCTCAAGCTTGTGGTTCTCCTTTCTCAGCTTTCACGAACTGTTGGCATTCTAGATGCACACCACCCTTTATCTTGGACCAGGAATTGAACCTAGGGCCCTCCATGTGGTCCCAGCTGGCAGAGCACAGGCATTTTAGCAGTGCACACCACCATGGCTGGGCTTATTACTTAGTTTTTTACCTAGGGATATATGTATCAGGGTTGCTTTTTTCCCTAGTCCATATCATGAGGGTTCAAAAATGTACAAGACCTAGCTAGTCATTTTCCCTCATGAGTTTTGATATGACCAAGGGAGATGTCAGTTAAATTAAGGTTTATAGCTCTTGGTAGAAAAATAAAACTGTGAGAACTAGATAGCTTTCTCACTCTAAGCCTGTATCAGAGAAGAGTTTGTATGACATGGAACAGGGACAGGGAAAGGCTGGTGCTTACATGATGGTAACAGTGGTCAATCTGATGTCTAAAGCTCTGAGTAAAGTTGTATCTGGAACTGAGCTATTTGAGGCAGGATCAGGATTGAGATTAGTCTGATGTCAGAGCTCACACACAGACATTTGAGAAAAGGGAGAAGTATTTTACTCCTTAATGAGAGAATTTAGCATGATTTAGGATTGTGCTTCTCCTTTGACAGTTTTGGTGGCAATGGGATTGTATGCAGAAATATTCATCTGTGAGGTACCCTTGACCCATGTAATGTGGGAACACATGGCAGAATTAGTGACTCAGCCCACTGAATGATCAAGGAGTCACTCCGAGAGAACAAAAGCTTCAGTTGGTACTCATTTGCACTCTTCATTCCACTCAATGTCCTTTAATGGCCAACTGGCCTGTTCCACCTCTACCTCAGAAGGCTACTCCCTGATTCTGCATCTTGTATCAAGAAAGAGCTGAGCGTTTTTGGAACACAATTACCAAATGAAGACAGAGAAGGATATGACACAGGAGAAATGAGTTCAGATTCTGCCTCAGTGACAGTTCAGGATTTTCCTATTGTTCTATAAGGATTCTCTGAGGATTTACAGAAGCCCCTAAGATTAGAGGTGGGCAGGGGCTGAGATACCTATGATCAACAGAAGTTCTATTAGTTTTTTTTTTTTTTAATGTGTATTAAATTGTCCATATTCTTTACTCTTCTTTGGCACATCATCATATAGCCTCTTCCCCTTATTTACTAATGGACACATTCCTGTGTCCATTAAAGTCTTTCATAAATCCCCCACTCACCACTCCTGCCCTCAAGCACCTTTTCTGGTCCTCTGTGCAAAGATATTTCTAAAACTTAGTAAACAACTAGTGATAAAATAAATCATCATAAAGTACTCATCTTAAAAACAATCTTTTGGGACCAGCAGGTGGTGTGGAGGTTAAGGTGCTGGACCCGCATATATGTGACTGCAGTTCAAGTCCCCAACCAAGTGGCTTGAAACTCACTTCAGGTGTGTGTCCAAAATTCCAAAAGGAGAGTGGAAGAGAAAGTATTGCGGCATGGTCATCGCTCCTTGAGGGGGATAATTTCTCTCTTTCTGTCTCTTTGGCAAATGCACATGCCTTATAGAAAAAAAAATTTCTCTCCCAAAAAAAAAAAAAAAAAAAAAAAAACTTCCAAGAATGCAGCTAAAGGGAACCAGAAGTTAGCATAATGGCTATGTCGCTGGACTCCCACATAGTCGACCGTGGTTCGCATCCCGGACCCGGTGGCTTACAACTCACACCGGGCGCGTGTGCGTGCATGCCCAAGATCTTGAGAGGAGAATGGAGGAGGAGGGATTGCGGCATGACCATCCCCCCTGGGGGGTGATTTCTTGCTTTCTGTCTCTATGTCTTTGTCTGTCTGGCAAGCGCACATGCCCTATAGCAAAAATCTCTCCAAAAAAAAAAAAACCCAAAAAACAAAACAAAACAAAAGAATGCAGCTAAAATGTAAGATAATTTTGTAAGTCTAATGACACTTTTTTTTAAAATTTAAAAAATTTTTTTTTTTTTATGAATAGCGAGGATTGTGTTGGCACAGCTTCTCTGATGGAGAAGTTGCGACCAGAAATAGCCTCAGGTTTATTCTTTTTAAAAATTTTTTTGTTGTTATCATAATCTTGTTTATATTACATTGAATCACATATAACTTTACAGTGTATTACATTTCTTTTTCCAGAAGGAATACCATTCATGGATTTTAATGTCTTTGTAATAACACTTGTCTTCATAGAGGATCTCTTAGATATGTTCTCCATGTTCCTGAGTGACATTTCTTCCATAGCAAAGAATAATTTCTCTTCATGTAACTCTCCATCACCTCAAGGGAGCGTATAAGCTGATTGTTACTCTTGCACTTCATCTGAGATTAAATGCAGAAATCCCCCTCTGTGCATTAGAAATGTTTGTATATCTATAGGGATGTAGAACCCATGGGATCAGGATTCTCAAACTAACTCTCTTTTCAGTCATAGGAGAATAGGTATTGCAGTGATAGAATTTTCATAAAGTGCTCCCGGGGCCAAAGCCTCAAGCATAGAGTCAGTGAGAAATCTGAGAGGCCTCCTTGAGAGGCACATATTGCCTGAGAGTCACCAGATGATCAGAGGTAGTGTCTGGAGCAGGCTTTCTCTATGAAGATTACTGGGAACAGTGCACTGGAGAGTCAAGCTTAGGTGACACTTTGAGTTTCTTCATCTATGTTATGCGTTGTTTATTTCAGAGAATGCTGTCACACTCTGTAGATCTTGGTATGTGAAGACCTTGAAGATCACTATTGTGATCACTTTTGGACCTGAGCGCATTAGAGTGTGGGTCAACTGAGCTCATGGGAGGTCTGCTTTGGTCTATCTATGGGAGTGAAGCTGATTGCAGGGGAGGGTTCCTTTGATTGTTATAAGCATATTTTAGGAGTATAAATCTGTGCTGATAGAAAAAATGGAGACTACTTTGTCTTTGACTTTAATGAGCTTTGATCCTTCTAAATGAGGCAGTTAAGAACTGTAGATCCAGGCAAAGAGAGAAAGTCATGAAAAATGAGTCCCAAATTCTCAGGGAGTCTGGAGGGGCTGGGAGAGAATTATAGCTTGCAAATTGGGAGGCAAGAGATTGGCCTGAATTGTGTTGAAATAAATGAACATAATGGAATTCTTAGTCACTTCAATATCTAAAGTTGACCAGATACATAGCTGGGCCTGGCTGAACTGAGGCAGCTGCCTTGGGTGAGGGGTAGTTTAGATCACTGGTTAGATTAGTTGTCATGATTGGGTATGACTCTGCCATTCTCACAGAGTTGTCCCTGGAAAACTAGCACCTGTTATTACCTGGGAATTTGTTAGAAAGACAAATTACTGCAGACCAACAGAAGTGGGTTATGACCAGATACCTGTTTTAATAAGCTCTCTAGGTAATTCTGAAGCACATCCACATTTGAGAATCACCAGTCTGGATAAAAAATAAAAATTCCAATGAGAAGCCCACACTATATTTGAGGGGAAAAAAGTGGAACTTGTGGTATATACAGAATGGGAGAAGCAGAAGTTAGTTATAAAGGGTAAAAGAGTGGATTTTAGGAGAAGCATACAATATTAAAATCTGAGGTGAGACAAAGCAAAGCATGTTCTCTAGATATGACTGGATCTATTAGGCTGTCAGGAAAGTCATGACATATTTTTCCATGCAAAAATGCTTAATGATTTTCCCTAC